CCTCCTGGAATTATGTACAGGACCAATTTTATGATCCGTTCGCTATGTTTCTGTTCCCTTGTCCTTTCTACTCCTAACCTATTTTTCTAACCGTCCAAATGGGCTACGCGGAACGGCAGTTATGTAACTGCATAAAAATATCCCACATAACTGACAACTTGTTATCTCCTCATATGCTACATGCTTTTACGCTACTGGCAAGTTCTGCGTTATCAGGATGGTGTTAATGCAATTCTTAAAAGGAGATGAGAGTAAAATACCGTTTTTGAAGGCCAGGAGTTCGAAGACGGAATGCACGATAGACACGATCACCGTGACAGCAAGCAGGTAAGGGTTCGTGTCCAGGAGGGTTTTCTACAAGGAAAAGTGGGACAATCAATATGTTGTCCACAGCCCTCATGGGAAAAAAGAATATTATAAGTCGGTTAAACAGGCTTCGAAACCGTAGCTAGATGCCTCGTGCCTCTCGGAATACGAGTTGCCTACAAGCCTACCTGCACAATCTAACAAATAATGCGGCCGAAAGACCCTAACTCGAAACAGGAAAAATAATGCGTTGTCTACCGACTTCAGTGCAGCTGCGGGATGTGCAACTACGTTGGAGAAACCTGCCGGCAAGTACAAACGCAAATGCATGAACATCAGCTGGCAGTAAGAAGGCTGGACGCAAAGTCGGTGATGGCAACTCATGCTGCAGAGATGGGTCACGCCTTCAACTTTGTGGGCCAAGGTGACGATCACACATCAAGACCGATTAAAGAAGCCTGGATGTTGACCGGCTGTTCGATAAGCCGCCACATAAATTTCCCTGCCTCCTAGATTGTATAAAGAACATTCTTATCGGTGGACAGTCTAGGCGCAGAACAATCGAGGCCGCCATGCAGCAGCTCTACGGCCAACCTGCGTGTCCATGGGGCAGGTCAGGGTGAGACGCGGGGAGACGCAAGGGGGGAGGGGCGAGGCGACACAGACGAACAACGCGCGGGAAGACCAAATAAACACTGACGTCCCGATTACAGACAGTGTCAACACGGAGCAGAACGCGTGTGTGAGTTATCAGACGATTAGGGTGGCCTGCGGTTACCATCTAGAGACACGAGCCACACAGAGCGGTTCAAACTGGATTAGCAGACTACGCACGCGGAAGAAAACAGCGGCATATAGCGAGAGCCAGGAGCCAGCCTTTTCACTCTCTGAAAATGGATAGACGAGGCAACTATCTGAAACGTCAGATACAAAATAAACCTCTTCCGGTGAACGCCCTTCCCCCTTCTGACAGTCAGACATGCTATGAAGAGGACTAGTTTATGAGCTATGAATCTGAGGTAGAAGGCAGTCATTGCAGTCTAACACAAGGCGTTAAGTATGTAGGAGTTATGGCTAGAAAGTGCTCAGTACGTCAGAAAGTATTAATAACCTCCCCTTTATTAAGCAGAACCGAGATTGGAATAGACAAGCTGAATGGACAGACGTTAAAGGAGTTCCGAATTACTTGATTTGGACTGACTGAATTTATAGTAGGTCCATTTGGGCGCTCCAGGAAAGAAAAGGAATCGGTTTTGATAGCGAGTTTTTTTAATGTTTTACTAATTTTCTCTTCTGTTCTATTCCGTATTGCCCAGCAAAACTCCTCAAAATTCGCGGATTGCCTTGATTACTAGCTGCCTTTACCGGAGAGACAATCTGCGTGCAAACACAGTGTCCGTGATGAACTTATAAAATATGTTCGTACTTTGTTGCTGATGAAAACAACACCATTAGCTACGTACATACTTGTACTTATTGCGGCTGCGATCATGACTAATCGAGCCGGCCTCGATGATGTCCCGTACAGTGCTTCCCCACGCGTGACGATCCGTGGCAGCAGACCTGGGCAGTTTGAACCGTTCTCTTTGCCAGCGCCGGAGATCGAATACCGAA